AAACATGAAAAGCTGCGGATGACTGTCACACAGGTGGACTTGAGAGTTTATGCAGAAGTCCTTGGTCCCCAGACTTGAAAAAGTAAATCTATGCATCTTGTCCTGCCTTCAGGGACCCTGCAAGCTGCCAGCCTCGGCAGCAATAGTGAATATTCCATGGTAGTCACATGCGATGGACCCTTTGATGAAAGTCCTGGTTGCAAAGAGTCATGTGGAAGAAAAAAAAAATATTTAATAATTTATTATTATTTTAATTACAGAAGTGTCAGTTTCCAAAAAAAGATCCAGGAACCAGCACTTGATATCCACCCACCTCTTCTGCTGACAATCTTCTTGCTCTCCGAAATAACAAGTCCCATTCACCTCTGGTCCTGGATGTGGCACATAAAGTCCTGGCTGGCTTTTGGGGTGCGGTGGATAGCGCTGTGCAGATCTCCAGGACCTCCTCTGCAGTGTTACAGTTCCCAGTTCAGTTGGACTTTACAATGAAGCTCTCCATCTTGGCCAATATAGGCTTCTACTGGCTCCGTTTGGCCAGGAGACAGAAACTACCCATGCATGCGGTTAGAGCTGAATATAACGTGCCCTGGATCAGAACCTGGTATGGTAGGGTCAGTAAAAGGAGGAAAACAAAAAAAAAATAACTCAATAAGGTGGTCTCACCTCGTCTTAAACTGAATCAACTGCAACTTGTCAAACAGGCTCCTTGTCAGGGAGGAATCCTGCCTCCACTCAGCTTTAGGTCTCTGCTCTGAGCTTCCATAGGATGCAGGACTATTGCTTGTTTCCTATTCTGAAGATTGGAATTTTGATTGTGGAGTCCTTTTTTCCATCATGTTCTTTCCCAAACGACGTCCCCCCCGATAGGAGTTACCGTCTCCGTGTTCACCGAGACCCCCGACGCACATAAATGCGGGCAGCGCAGAGACTTGCAGTCCACCAGCAGTCACGGCCGCACCTTGCAGGGGTCTCGATGAAGGCGGTGCCCCCCTCCCCTCTGGAGAGGGGAGAGGGAGATGGTAGGGTAATCAGGGAATGAGACACACCTGGGAAGCAATAAACAGGGAAGACAGGAAAGGAATAGGACTAAACAGAAAATCTCAAAAATAAATGCACTGAAAACACAGACGACCAACATGTAAACAGCAACAAGAACTAAAAGGTTGTTCTACAGACACCAGCAGAGCATTTACTAATTCCCAAAAAAAAGGCTGGGTGTTTTGTTTTTTCCTTTTTTTTTTTGGTCTTGGGCTTTTTATAGAAGCATGTGTAGCAGCTCCCCAGCACTTGAATTAACTTGCACAGTCTTGACGGGTGATTTCAAGGTTTTTTTTATTTTTCTTTTGATGTGGACAATCAGTCACCACACCCACCTCAGTCATCTCAGTCACCTTGATCACCATAGTCACCGTGAAAACTAAACAAATATACAAATATTAGAATATAAACATAAACTTACAACACAAAAAAAAAATAAAACGTAGCTCGCTGCTTTCACCGGGGGAACACCAAGTGTTGATTGTGCCAAACACATCTTTGACAGTTAATTCAAGTCATTTATTGGTACAATGATTTGCCAGCTTTTATAGGGCCTGCCCTCATTAGCTACAGCAGCCCGTGAGGTACATACAAACAAACAAAAACAAAACTTTACAAAGTGCAAAGTTTGTTAGTGATTACTGATGCTGAGACAGTTAAAACAAAATACAAACTACCAACAGTACTAATCAGAACAAATATCATTAAAAAATCTGCAAGATCCTTAATTTAGAAAATTAACTTTAAATAATTTACAATAAATAGTCTACAACTTTAAATAATTTAGGCAATTTATTTTAAATAGCTGACTATCCATTACAGCATGAGATACCTGAATGGATGTACAGAAACATGCAAAATGTGAATTTTGCAAAATAGTGGACATAGTTGCCTCCCGTCACATATTTAACTGTTAAATGTTGGGGCACAATTTGTTCTGCATTTCTGCACACATATCAACATTAAGTGATGAAATATTGCCCTGTTTTTTGTTTCATTCTTATTTTAATTTCCCCCCCATGAAAAAACACTGACTATCCTGGCCCTTGTTGTAAATTTGGGCTAGAACTGATCTATGAACTCAACTACTTATTTGTAAAAATATTTCCTTAAAATACCAGAATTTGCACAGAACTTACTTTTGGCTCTCTGTTGATGTGAATTTAAACTATTGAATCATGTATTATGTTCAGTTACTCTGTACTTGACTAGATTTTTTTACCAGATACATTTTACATTTGCTTATTTAAAGCTTAATCTACTTCTACTTAACATGTTGAAGTTATACTACTCTAATTGGAGTACAATTTTTGGGTACTCTAACCTATTTCTGTGTATGAATGATTGCACTATTGATTTTTTGTTTTTGCAAAAAAAATAAAATAAATAATAATAATGAAAAAATAATAAAATAGAACAGCCATAAAGTAATGTGTACCACTTTTGAGGGCATCCTACCATGGTGGACGTCCCTTATTTTAATTTCTGAAAGTAGGCAAACCTAAGTGGACCCTTAAAGTGAAGTTACAAAAGAAAAAGAAAACATTTAAACAGTTCCTGTTTTATGCTTAAAAGAGAAAAAAATCATAACCCCAGGCCAGAGTATTGCACACAGCAGAAAATGGAAGTGGAATTATTTTTCGTTTAAACTATCTTAACTCCGTCCTTCGCTTTCACTTCCGCCTGAACCGGGAAGCGGGTGAGCCTCACATCAAATTTCACGCGAGAGTGTGTGTAAGGCAGAAGAGAGTGGAATCAGTCCAGCGGCGACACGGAGCCATCGTGAGAGCGACACAGGAGAACCAGGAGTCACTTTTTAAAATTTAAACACGTCTAAAAGGCGGAGAGTTGCAGTTTTTGCTTTATTGTCAGAGCTGAGTTGCACCATCGCCACGGAGAGCATATTTTAAAGGTATGGTACTTAACTTTCCCCATTAAACGTTGTGCCTCTTGATAGAACCCAATACGGGTGTGGCTGTAACAGGTTAAACAATAAGCTCAGGCTGTTTTTGTTTGTTGTTTTTTTACACCTTTCTACCTGTATTTGACGTAGTGACAAACTGTTTAAATATAGACTTGCGTTATTGTAACAGTAAAGCTGCTTTGGTTCAGTTCAGCAATCAGCCCAGACGTTTTCCTGCTAATTGTGTGTAAACCATTTATTTTACGCTATGTGTGCAGTAAAGAAATCACTCATGGTCGAAGGATATTAGAGTAGCTGTGGTACATCAGGTCGGATTTATTGTGGAATGTTCAGAGAGTTACTGACTTTAAAAAGCATGCCAGGGTTGAAGTAGCTGGAAAACTTAAGGGTAGATCTGAAAAAATTAATTGTATGAATCAATTATTGAAATGATCTTAAACTAATTTAGTAATCATTAACTGGAGTATATAGTAAATAGACCTAACTCGGGTCGATCGCGGAAGGTTTTGAGTCGATCTCGGCAGTAGGTGACAAACTGAACGCCACCATAAGGTTGAAACCAGCACGTCCTTTTCTGATGCGCTTATCAAAAATATTCACTAAGATCCAAAAAATGTGTAACTTTATTAAATATTTTTTGAAAAAATCAACAAAAAGTGTTCAAATTAATGACCCAACAAAAATAATGTCAGTAATTATTGCTTCAACAAAACGCAACAATCTGTGCGTTTTGGTTAAATTATAAAATACATTACAAAATAAAAAAAAGGCGACTCGAAGACCGACTGACTAGCAGCGCATTAGTTTAAATCGGCTCACCAACCACCGCTGTGTTGAGCTTATTAATAATCGCGAAATAAACATAAACCCTGAAAACCTAATATTGTAACGGACTGAAGTCATGTTTTAACGTAATCTCTGCTCGGCTTACTGAGGTACGAGTGGTTTTGAGTTGACCCCCTATTCGGGTTATTTTACCTTTGCTGTGGCGCCTTACAGCTGCTGTCATTTCTGAATGTTCAATAAACGAAAAAATTGGACTACTTACCTCGTTTGTTTGCAAGCATACCTCACAATAAACATCAAATAGTACAAATATATTTCATTAAGTATCTAACAAACAAATGGCTCCTACCTTGATAATTATATTAAATTAATTGTCTAATATTTAAAAACATAGTTTGGTGCTCTCTGGCATCTTGCTTTGAGCAAAGAGTCTGAGAGGATTTTCCTCCATCAAGACATGCTATTAATGTTTGTGTCTTATTTAGTGGAAATATTTATGCTGATTAGATTTGATCCAAAATGACTATTTTTTCCGTCTTTATAGCTCCACTGTT